AAAAGGACGCGAATATTGATGGTTTTCACGCTTAAGTCAAGTAAAAGACCGCTTCTTAAAGCAGAGAAGGTTTTTTCGAGTTAAATTTCGAGTTAAAAAGTCATAATTGAGAGATATAAACGGCCAATTCTGAGAAATAAAGTCAGAATTGCGTGATATAAACTCGCAATTCAGACTTTTCTTCTCGCAATTGCGAGTTTAGGCCTATATCATGCAATTCTGACTTTTTCCCCTCATAATTGTGAGATATAAACTCGCAATTCAGACTTTTCTTCTCGCAATTGCGAGTTTAGGCCTATATCATGCAATTCTGACTTTTTCCCCTCATAATTGTGAGATATAAACTCGCAATTGCGGTAAAAAGTCGCAATTACCTTTTTTTTTTTAATTCAGTGGCAGAAACGGGCTTCCAGGCTCTCTCTCTGTCTTTTTTTTGATTCCTCTGTGTTTGCTAAACGTTCTGTAATTTATTAGTAATTATATAGCCTAATACAGCGTGTAGGCCATGCCTCATCTTATTCGTTTTTGTCAATAACATTTTGTAAGAGTAAAGTAAGCATCCAGTGCATTTACAGTCTCCGTATATGAATCTTTGGGACCCAGGAGATTCGCGAAAAATCCTCTGCACTGGAGCACCAATACAATGCAAAAAAGTAGCGTGTCTTACCGCATCGGCCGCATTGATAGTTCCACTGGCCAACTCAAAGAAACTGTAAGAGTCTTTCCATGTTTTGTATTCTGCATACAAATCCGAAACTCCGAGATTCAATGGAATAGGCGGCGATAACTGAGCCTGTGCGACATGTATCGGCAGTGCTCGTGCTGCGGCCTCTTCGCCCTCCATGCCAGCTCCATCAGTCTTTTAGATCCAGATGTCGTTTCCAGCGACAGTTGAACATTTACAGTCTCCGTATATGAATCTTTGGGACCCGGGAGATTCGCGAAAATCCTCTGCACTGGAGCACCAATACAATGCAAAAAAGTAGCGCGTCTTACCGCATCGGCCGCATTGATAGTTCCACTGGCCAACTCAAAGAAACTGTAAGAGTCTTTCCATGTTTTGTATTCTGCATACAAATCCGAAACTCCGAGGTTCAATGGAATAGGCGGCGATAACTGAGCCTGTGCGACATGTATCGGCGGTGCTCGTGCTGCGGCCTCTTCGCCCTCCATGCCAGCTCCATCAGTCTTTTAGATCCAGATGTCATTTCCAGCGACAGTTGAACGGCGATCCTAATCGTTCTTTTATGTTTTCATCCTCGTCGCCATTTATGTTGTGTTGTTTGTCTCAATAACCAGTCTGTATCGTTGTTATCTCAACTTTATTAACACACTCTCAACTACATGATGGAGCCCTGAATTGCCCAGCTCCCTCTGTCAATGATCTAGTACCCCATCGGCACCTGCGTTCAAAATTGTCTGGCACCGCCCCTGGTACATCAGTGTATTTTTGAAAAGCAAAAATTAAGTTTGTTCAACTCTAAACCCAGTCCCCAAGTAAATTAGGTTATTAAATGAAAAACTAGCAAAACGAGTTGCGCGGTGTCCCCACCACTTTTCAAAGCAAAGTTAGGCCACTGTATTTTCTAATTATTATTCATGTAGATTTTATTAGATAAAATGATATATTTGTACTTAATAAACAATTCTTTGTCATACAGGAATATTTACTGTAAGAAAACTGCAAAAAGTATTGAAAGACATGATTAAATAAAGTGCAATCAAATATAAAATATCTATAAAAAAAACACACACAAAAAAAAAGTTAATGAGCATCTTATTTGTCAACTCCCTTTATACAGTTAATAGTTGATTAATGAATTCACAGATTTCATTATGTAGATTATTAATGATATTTGATTAATGGTATAAATCAACCATGCGATACAGTAATGCAGTGCAGTTCACAAATCTGTAAAAAAAAAATAACATTGCACAGTTTTACAACCTGAGAGAAAATTTCATATCAACTCTAATAATCAACTATGAGAATCAATCAGAATTGTTGTGTTGAGAAATTAGTGTCGCTTAGCTTTTAACACACACTAACAGCAAACAACGGCATACTACCCTGAGTCAAAACCATGTGGTCCGAGCATCTCCTAAAATATTACTGAGTCCTGTGGAACCTCTATGGGATATCAGCCATCTCTGGAGCTGTATTGGATGTTCTCTCTGACAGAAGATCAGCTCGGGGTTTCCCATTCTAAAAAGTCAGGATAATTAATAACTAAGGCTGATCCTGGATCAGAATGAGGGAGTGAATGTTATGGGATTGGTGATATGCTGAAGTTGTGATCAAAGCTGGGGCTCAGTGTAGTAGGAGTAGATACAGGAGATACTTCCAGAGCGTCTTCTCTGTATTCAGGAGATGCAGGACTGTTAGGAGACTCTGACGGTTCTGTGCGGTCTGACCTGCCTTGGATGATTTCCTCAGGGGTCTTCAGAAACCTGCAGCACAGAGGGAGTGTTTAAAAGCATAAGAACAAGTATGATTGAACAATATATGGGTCAAGTCAGAATATTTTTCATTTTGAGACCACAATGCCCAGTTTAACAGAATGAACAAATTTAGCTCCCCCTTGTGTGACTCCTTGTAATGAAAAAGAATGTCTGTTTTCAAAAATGTTAATGCATTTTGTTTCAGACTTGATCACCTATGGCCATGAATGATGAAGCACTATTTAATGTGATGTTGTCCAATCCCTACCCCCAAACCTAAACCTACACATAATTTATTCCTAAAATCAGTGTGAAATGATAGCTCATTTACAAGGGTGTAGAAGCACCTAACCCTGATTGTAAGCCTAAAACAGATATTTCTTGAAAAGTTATCCCTTAATTCTGATTGGTTGATTGGAATGTTGTTCCAGGATCAACAAGGATGTTGATCCAGGAACATGTAGTACTTGGTGAAATCACGGTCACCGTTTTGGGATATGGTCCGCAAGTCTAAGATGATTTGTGCGATCGTTTTTATGATCAATTTAAGCTTATGATGCTTTTGGGAATCGCAGCCCAGGACAGTGTACTCCAGTGTTGCCAGGTTCACAGTTTTCCCACAGAATTGGGTTACTTTAACATTGTTGCCGCGGGTTGTTTTTCATGTCCGTGGGTTGAAGCGACCCCTATAACATGATATTTAGCCCCTGGAAAGCGATTTTTACTGGCGATTGGGCTAGTTTTGGGTAGCAATTGGGTGGTTTTTGTTATGAAAACCTGGCAACCCTGATGTACTCTCTTTAAGTACAATTACCAGCCTTCTATTTGATTACTGGTAAAATATTTATTGCAAAAACAGTTTTTTAAATTATTCTTTTAAAATTTTAAATACACTAAAATGCACTTTCATTATAATTAAGTTAATTTTTATCAAAGGGTACATCTCATTTATCATAATTAAATGGAATTATATCGCCATCACCACTAACTAATGAAAGAAAAACCAAACCACAAAAATACAAATATGCATTAAAGGTGGGGTAAGCGATTTTTCAAAAACGCTTTAGAAAACTGATTCGGGCTGAATAGCAAAAAAAAACTTGTAGCCAATCAGCAGTAAGGGGCGTGTCTACTCGTGATGCAGAGGAGAGAGCGCTCAGTGCACAGGACGGACATTAGCGAGCAGAGCGACAGAAAGATAGAGATGGCAGATAAAAAAACAAAAGAGGAAAACTTCTGCTGAACAAAAGAAGGCTTACGATAAGACAAGAAGTAGGACCCGTGTAAATATTGGATCAGCTTTCCAGCGCTGGAGAGAACTCAAGGAGCGGAAGGCCTGCGATCGGACGCAGAGGTTGCTTTGTTTCTTCTCGATAGGTAAGTAACACCGTGTCTGCGGCGCAACAGCTAAAGTCTGCCTAGTACACTGGACGCGACAAAGCGACCATTGAAAATCATTTGAAATGTGTGTCAACTTGTCATGAACAGAACGCAGCAGCAGTTTTCTGTCGGGGATTTGTCGTGTTGTGCCGCACCGCATCCAGTGTAGACAACATCACTGATTATAATGAGTTCTATAGTATTTTGTTGTGCGTCCGGTGTAGACACGGTGTAACATTGATTTTGCTTTGTTTCACAGAACTAATCGTTGCCTGGGTTGCATATGTATGTGTGGGGCAGAGCTATCAAAATAGGGTCAAGACCCTTTTGGGGTAGGAGCGTGTTTGTTTTGGTGATTTGAAATGTCAACATTGGCTACCAGAAATCTCTTACCCCACCTTTAAATGCTTTTCGAGTGCCTCTACTCACCGGAAGAGCAGCCTCTGGCCTGTCTCTTTCTTGATAATGTTGAGCTTGTAGTAATGACGTAATGCTCTGGACATTTTCTCATAGGTCATATTGGCCCTATTCTGCAATAAGAAACAAACAGACCCAATTATTATCGATCACACTTAAAGCAATGAAGAAGTGAGCTGGTCTTGTCTGCTGCAGTACTTTGTGGTTGCCCCAGAGTCGTGCCAGTCCGTTGGGATCCACCACTCTGAAGATCATGGCGTCCTGATCCTCCCAGCGTATGAAGGCCTCATACCTGCTGTCTGAGAGCAGCTGGTACACATAGTCCCATAAGAGTCTGCAGTCTATCAAAAAGATGGAATAGTAACAGGCATGTTTCTTTATGATTTTTGACATCCAGTAAACTTGAACAATGTCTGATATCATTTTTCATATTAATGCCAGTTTACAGAGTCTGAAGCAACATGCATGAGCACCTGCAATCTTTCCATTGGCCTCAGAGGTTTGTGTGGTGTTTGCAGGTCTTGTGGGTTTATTGGACAGGTTGAGAGGTTCATCTGTACAGTAAACATTTACTGGTTGTCTGGTTTTGTCTGGAGATGTCTGCTGATTTTTTTCCTTGGGAGAATTATGTGAAATCTCTGCAAAATATGAAATTAAAAGGAGAGCTATAAAATGTCAAGGGTGAAAAAGTGAAGATTTCAAATTCCTGTATCAAAATCTTGTATCAGTCAGGAAGCCAGGATCCTCTAGGGGCCGCAGAACACTTCCAAAAAGTTTTAACATACAATTCTACACTTCCATTTTAACATTCTATTACAAAAATGTGTGCATTTTTTTATGAAGCCCCAGGCATATGATATGCTGAAGAAGGAAAATAGATATCATGGCCACAAATTTGTTTCCATGACTTTGTCAACAATCGTGGCCAGGTTTGTCCCCTCATTTTAGGTAAATTGTGGCAATATTTTAGTAATTTGTTCCGTTGTTTTAATCTCAATTATAAGTTTAACTAAAACCCATGTTAACTATGTTAACAAGTGACAATTTTAAGTTAAAAACCTCTTAACAGAAAGCTACAGAGTTTTAAGTTAAAATGTTTCCATGGATTTGTTTCTTACAAACACGCAGCTTTTCTCTTCACAAGACATTAACTGATGGACTGGAGTGGTGTGGATTTCTTGTGGATTATTGTGATGTTTTTATCAGCTGTTTGGGCTCTCATTCTGACGGCACCCATTCACTGCAGAGGCTCTATTGCTGAGCAAGTGACATAATGCTTCATTTCTCCAAATCTGTTTTGCTGAAAAACAATCTCGTCTATGTCTTGGCTGGCCTGAGAGTTAATACATTTTCAGCAAGTTTGGGTGAGATCTATCCCCATGGCTTTGATTTCATGACTTTCTGTGGTCAATAAAGATGGTTTATAAGCCCTGACCTCTGTGCATGCCATGTGAATGCTCAGGGTCAGCAGACAGAGGTTTCTTCTCCTGGCTCTGATCTGTGCTACATCCAGCTGTTAACACCCAGGAGTTTGTATTTACTGGACAAACAGGAACATTTGTGTTAGAGGGAACATAAGGACTAGTGGTCAACCGATATGTGGTTTTTGACAGCCGATGCCGATATCTTGGAAAGCAGGGTGGCCGATGGCCGATAAAAAGCAGATATAATTTTATTTATTTTAATTCATATTCAAGAAATTTGAAATCATTTGAAAATGGATTAAAAAAATAAATGTGTAAAATAAACATACTTATTCTTAAGATGACAAAGTATTTTTCACAAATAAATAAATACTTAATAAAAATATAATTAAAAAGGGAAGTTTGTGTGCATTGGGAAACATATTTTTTCAAACAAAGCTCATTTTACATACAGCACACAGTGAAAATTACATGAATATGACAGTGGGCAAATGCATAAAGCGCAGTATAATTTGAAATCACGAGTTTACCATCGCACGTCTTCAGTGAGGCTGAACTCTCCTCCTGTCAGCATTCAATTTGCACGGACCGACCGTCACGCAGCGAACACGCGATCATGCAGGATACAAATGCACACTTCAGAAGATCTCACAGCTGGATTCGACTAAGTTTGCAAGGTTTGTGAAATGAAATGTTCAGTATTCATTCAAAGATTTGTTTAAATGATATAAATGCGTATTTGCTGAATGCTGACGGCAAACGAGAAAGTATTATAATTAGAGCCCGGCCGATATATCGTTTAGCCGATATTATCGGCCGATATGAGTCTGTTGCCGATATATCGGTGTCGGCTAATACGCCATCTATATGAAAATCTTTGGTACAGAACATATAACGCAGATAAAATTCTTGAAATGGTGTAATTACTTAGACTCTCCATTGTTTGCTACTGGTGATCTAGATGTAATGGCGCCGTGGATCCACACCAAATTCGGGGGATTCCTTCAGCTCGAGGAGCCCTCTCGAACGCTGAATCGAGTGTACGTCTCGAGGCCCTCTTTCGAATGAGACCCCCCCCGCATCGATAGCCCCTGGGGTTCGGGAGTTACGGGTGGTTAAATTCGCGGTCCAGCACCAGCTGATCTAGCAATCCCGGGGGGCTACCGACGCATGGAGGGTGGCGTTCGAGAGGGCTCCTCGAGCTGAAGTGATCCCCCGAATTTGGTGGAGAGATTCGCCGGCGCGTTCGCGAGATAGTGACACCAGTCAACACTTTCACTTCAGTAAGGAGGTCTCTTGTTCAGGCAGCAGCATTCAAGCATTGGCTTATTCGACCGTAAGTGCCCTGCGAAGTGGACTTCACATGAAATTCCGCCATGATTCCAGTTCCAAGGGAACATACACGTTACATTCAAAGGGCATTTAAGTGCGCAAGACGTGAATTTATATTTATTTACAGAGGTATATTATGTCACACTTCACACTTCTCTAGTGAGTTTAGTTTGTGTGTGAAGACAGTAGCGCAAATCCATGAATGAATGTTCCAAAGTGAAATAAACTTCAACGGAATAAAGTTAAACTTCAACTTTATAGTTCAGTGCACTGATGTCAGACTCATTTTGGATAATGAAGTTTATTGTTAAACTGTTAAATGCCCTGCCTCCATCATTACATATCTTTGTCAGATCATTATAGAAATATGTTTATGTATATATATTCTGTTTATGTATATACTGTATTCTATATATAGTACCAGTCAAATGTTTGGACACATGAATGGGAAAGTGTCCAAACTTTTGACTGGTACTGTAGTATAATATACACAAAGAATATCGGCCGATATATTGATATCTTTCAATTCATATTTTTACTTTTACTAATATCGGTATCGGTATCAGCCCCAAAAAACCCATATTGGTCAGGCTCTAATTATAATGTTTGCCTTTCTATTACTAATAATACAATACTTTGTATACATTTTAATTTCCTTTCTATCTGATTATTAGGCAGACTTCTATCCGTATTAGACAGAACTGTTAACGACGACAGCGAACAAGAGGGAGAATGTGAGCACTATGTGCTCAGGTTGCCTCTGTCAGCGCTGTCAAAAGAAAAGTCCCGCCTCGAACGCATCGGCCAAACAGAAAAATATATATCGGCCGACCACTAATAAGGACCTGTAAGACGACTTCAAAACAATTCATTTTATTTATAACATTACATGGAAAAAAGGCAAATATGAAAGAAATGTATTGTGTACTATTGTTTGAGTGGAGGTAGGTCTAATTTAGCCACACCTATTGCAACAGCTCTAGCTTCTTTACAACCAGGAAATTCCCTCCTGAATCAAGAAATGGGTGTTATTTAAACCCATGAAGCAGATCAGTGTGCTTCCCGTCAGTATCAGTTATAAAGGACTTGCTATAAAATACTGATATCAAGTGTTCAGTAAGTATGATATGCAAAATGTTTCCCTTTACAAGGACTCCACAGCATGCTGGAGCAAAAACAGTGGCTCAGTTCCTTCAACGGTGTATTTGCTACAAGCTTCGGCAAGCCATTTAATTTATTCTCTGGCAACTGTTCAAATAGGAAATCAGACATTTATCAAAATGCCCATAATAGAGGATTACACAAGAACAGCCTGAACAAGGAAGAGTCCTCTCAGCTTTTTAACTTAAAAAGACTCTAAAATTCTAAATAGCCAAACAAATAATTGTATAAAAATATGCAAGCGATCAACTACATGCATGACTTTGCATTTAAGACTTTAGCTGAACACTCCCGATTTTATGAATAATAGATTATTATGAACAACCCTGTCAAATCACCTGTCGTCCCGTGCGAGTCGGGTGTCTGTTGTGACGGTGTGTTGGAGCTGGACAGCGGACTGAAGATCGCACATCTCCTCTGCTGCTTCACATGTTGAAGGAGTTCATACAGAATATCACCTGTTCAAAAAAGTTTCCATTCACAGTGCACAGTTATCATGAAAGCTATGAACAAAACCGATAACTAGAATTCATTTCAGATCACACACCAGAGCTGGGACAGCGAAGACGGAAGTCCTCTTTGGTTAGAAGACAAAGCGCCTTTCCGTTCATCTCAAATTTTTGGTGGTCCGCACGTCGCAGAGAATATTCCCTCTGAGCCCAGCGTAGCCAGAGATTCACGTCCTCCTTATTCCACAAAGATGGATTGATCCCTTACATTACAACCATAAAACACAGTGTTAGTTCACCCAAAAATGAAAACACTGTCAGCATTGATTCATCCTCATGTCATTCCAAATTTGTATGAATTTGTTTATTTTATGGGAATTTTGGAGAATGATGAAGCTGCAATGGACATGGCTACATAAAAACACCATCCAAGCTCGTAAATGCTTGATTTCCTATATTTTGTGTCATATTAAGCCCTTTTTAGAGCAACATTTTGGTCATGATTTGGTGAACATCATCGCATTTGTATGTGCATTTGAGCATATTCCAAACTGTTGTGATGTACAACTGATGTGATGCACTTATGCATATTCAAATCTGATGTGATGTGATGCAATGCAGGCACAAAGTTTGAATATTTGCAAGTGTGACTTTGACTGAATAATGTCTGTTTATTCCTCTCACAAAACTGTATATGGCTTTGGACTATAAGACGACTTATACGTAAATATATGAAGACAAAAGCTTTATGCTACTGTCATGGTGCTATTTGTCATTTGAAGCCTAGCCGCTGGTCACAATGTGGAAAAGTGTAGCTTTGTATCTCTGTTAAACATCTTTTGTGTTCTGTAGAAGATGTTTGAAAGGGTATAATGTTGAGTACATTTGTTCTTTAATACATTTCGTTGTTATGAGCTATAAGCTATTCGTGTAAATATTTTATGTGGGAACATACGTAGTCTTCCAGGTAGCTTGCACAGTTCATCAGGCACCGTCTTGTACCAGGAGGGAGGTTCATTTTGAGGGTCGTGCAGAACCGGAGAGCAAACTGGGGGTTCGTTCCCATTACAACTCTGCTGAAGCTTGGAAGGGAAAGCAGAAGAAGCATTCACTTCAATAAAAATCTAATAAATCCATGATTTCAGTGATGTATAATAAAGCATTTTTAATGAATGACTCAGAAAGTACAGAAACTAGACAATCACTCTTGCTGTATGAAAACAAACTGAGATCTCAATACACACAGGCACAGCAAAAGTGAAAGTACATTTGAGACGCAACAGTTGTTATTTTCAGTTTTGCACTGTCGCCTAAATTTTTTATAAAGTATATTTGCATCAAAAGTCTACATTAATATTTCACTTTTTATTATGGCATTTCAGAGGGTTCACAAAATAACACAAAAAAAAGCAGTTGAATATAATATTTGCTTCAGCGAGCAGTTTGAGGTGATTTGCATGTGATTAAAGTATTTTTGTGCCACTAATTTATGGCATTGACTACTAATTCAAAGTCATTTTATTTACTATACTATTATTTGGTGGTGATCTTACCTTTATCAAAGGTGGCGATGAGGAGGCGTCACTCATGTTCTGTAACCTTCAAGACTTCACAATCTCATAAATATTCGCTACAATAATAATACCCAATTACTGTGTCAATAGCTGATCGATATTATACACCACACACAGCATGTGGTGTCGCGTAAAGTCGCAGTCTCGCACAGCAGAGTTTGCTTTCTTATGCGAATCGCTGCAATATTAAGAATCCTTCCGGGAAATGAAAACGAAAGAGAGCGGATCTGCCAGCGGCTGTGTGCACATGAATCTCGCAAACACTGTAGGGAAGAGATCGGTCCTGTGTTTGTGTTTCAGGTAGCCAATCTGGTATTTCCTGAAAGCCCAGAGAGATTAAACGTGTGTGAATTAAGCACAGTGGTAAAACTTTAAAAGTGCGATAAGATCGAAACGTTATGAACAGCAAAGCAAATTAACTAAATAATGTAGGCTACAGTAGAAGCTCTCAGATAAAAAGAAAAAGAAAAAAAGATTATGCTACTATTCTGCGTTTATGCTTATCCAGGTGGCGAGCAGGTATTTCTGTCAACACTTTTCTGTTGAGGCGCGCAGTAACTAAGTGCATTTACTTAAGTATTGTACTTAAGTACACTTTCAAGTACAGTATCTGTACTTTACTTGAGTATAATTTTTCTGGAAACTTATGACTTTAACCTCACTACATTTGAAAGACAAATATTGTACTTTTCACGCCACTGCATTTCTATCAAGATTCTCAAAGTAGAAAGTCGTTACTATGTGGCAGCTTTGAAAGTCAGTGGGTGATTTCTTTCTTCTCTAAAACGTGACTTTCTTTTTTTTTCAGACAGTTTATCAGTAATCACTCTTGTAGGGCTACATGAAGAGATTTCCCAGCATTTTTTGAACACTGACCAGCTGCAAATGTGATATTTATTTACAACAATTCAATAATAAGAAATTAATATTGTGGTATATATTAGACACAATACTGTCTGATTTTGCTAAATTGTGTAAGTGAAAATATTACCTATAAAGCCACAGAAGAACTGTTGAGCAATTAGAAAGCATTTTTAAAAATGTTGTTTTGATGTCAAATAAGTCTTGCTATTATGATTTTTTTGTTAAAGCAGTGTTGCTGTTGTAAAGTTATATAGCTACAGTTGTGTTGCTGGGTTTTAAAGCAGGTTCGATTTTTTTTCTTCCGTATCACTCTGTATTTACAATAATTTCACTGTCACATAGATGTGTGCACACACTGTCAGAGCTGTGTGAGATCTCTACCATCCTGCTTTTGTGGGGGTGGGTAGGGGTATTATATGTTATATATATATATTCCCATAGGTTTTTAACATTCTAAAAGCTCTTTATTCCAAAGATACTACAAGCTAGTCAGTGTATTCAGTATGTGTAATGTATTGTAAGTTGCTTCAGAGGTATTGCAAGCATTATGCATAACAATAATAAAACAGTGCATTGACATAAAAAAAGGACATTTACTTTTGATACTTAAGTACTTTTAAAAGCAAGTACTTCTTCACTTTTACCTAAGAAGAAATCTGTCTTTACAACTTTCATTTGTAATTGAGTAATATTTGACCAGCAGTATCTGTACTTTCACTGAAGCAATGGGAGTTGTGTACTTTGTCCGCCTCTGTAAACCCCATGATAGCACAATCAATATGGAAAATTGACAGATGGGTATTAAATGTCATAACTTCTCCAGTAATAAAAGTGGCCATATTACAAAATAATACAATTATGAAATGAAAGCCTGAACATATAATTTAAGTAACAATAATGGTAAAATAATCAATCAATAAAAGGTTTTGTCAGTAATGTCACTGTGTGAAATATTAACACAAAATTGAAATATATAGGCCTACTTGAATCTAAATATATCCAGAATTATAAAATAATAACAATTGTACGGTGGCCGAGAGAGCTCAACGAGCTGCAAATGAAAAAAAAACACCTGCAAATTAGGAAAACATCTTCATCCATTTGACAACACACAAGCTGCAACTTCTCACAACACAACCCAATAAAGAAACACGCTGCAAACAGCGCATTTCTGTATTTGGTTGTTAGAATTTGAAGCGCCTTTTTGGTTGTGTTGTGAGTCTTTTCAGCACGTGTGTTGTCAAATTGATGAAGATGATTTCTCAATTTGCCGGTGTTTTTTTTAGCACTGCATAACCACGATAGGACTATATAACTGATATAGTAGCAGGATCATGGACCTGTTTTGTTATGTTTTGCCGGTTTCTGTTCCTGTGTTCCCTCATTTGGTCATGTTCCTGTCCTCGTTTAGTGAATTAGTCCTTCTGTGCACCCGTGTTTGGTAATTGTCCTGTGTTTATAAGTTCTTGTCTGTGCCTTTCTCCTCTGTCGGGTCTACTTGCTGTGAACGTCATCCTTGTGCTCTGTGTTTCCCATTTGGATCATTAAAGGACTCTCCTTCTGTGAAATATCCACGTTTCTTCATGCTCCAGCGAATTGTGACATATAGGCTTATGTTTTTATTTTTCCTTTTCATTCGAAATATTTCCAAACTTGGTAACTATATCAGGAAAGATCTCGATTCTCAAATATGTGTAAGTAAATGCGTGTTGCACCTTTATAGATTATTATTTGATCTATAATGATGTGCAAAGTAGACTAATCTATTAACTACAGATAAAAACATCTTTTTACTTAAGTAGAAGACATGGGTGTCATGCCATAAAATATTTTTAATACGACCGACTTTGTATTTAATGTGAATTTAATAACAATATTGTAAGTTACTAATAAGGCTATAACACTTTCATTTTACAGAGATCAAAGAACGTTTACATTACCAAATAACATTTTCATGTAGTCTAGCCATTAAAATTCCTTTCCATTAAAACTCCCATTAAAATCACTGAAGATGTTTACAGCGTGAAATTAATATAATTTTTTTTTTATTATTGCTTAATGTACATAACAAGACAGGGAACAACCAACAATGCAAGACACTTCCAGTGAGACAATCACAGAGTTTACATTAGAGAAGAAGAGAAAAAAAAAAAAATTATATATATATATATAAACACAACACAAGGAGCAAGGATGAAAACAAAGATGCAGTCGATGTAGACATTATAAAGAAAAAATATACTAAAGTAATAAATAATTTGACAAAGAGAAGCATAACTTTTCAGATTTTCTATTATGTTTTTTGAAGCATTTGAAGCTCTGAAACATTTTAGCAAACTCAAATAAAAATATATTGAAGGAGGGTTTACTTTTTTTCCATTTACAAGTATGGATATGATATTTACCCATCAACAAAACAAAATTGACAACATCAGAGAAGGATGAATTTAAATCACACTTAAAAAAGAGGACATCTTATTGGGTTATAGGAGGAATTGTCTCCATTTTTACTGACAACCAACGATAATTCAGCTTTATCTATACATTCTTTTAATGCTTCGAAAACTAAGATTCTTATTTCGGGCCAAAGATGTTTATATAGTTCTACTGTGATGCCATCAATACCAGGGGACTTTCCATTAGACATTTGCTTAATAGCAGTGTCTAATTCTGAAATCTCAATGTCAGCTTCCATCATATTTCTAAAATCAGAGTCTATAATATGAATTTTGTCTTTTAAAAAGGAAAAGAAGAGATCACAATCGTTTTCTGTACATTTAGATTTATATAAATCATTATAGAAGGAATATATGTAGTCATCAATTAGTGTTTTTTCCTCACTCTCAATAAGGATGTCTTTATTACCGAAATAATTTAGTCTTGATAAAATTGTTGTCTGCCTAAATTTTCTAGCATTTGCAATTTGTTTCCCTTCTTTAATTGCTAATCTTTTTACAGTAAATTTGACCCATTCCCATTTGCCAACTGAGGTTAATTCAGACATGGTTTTAACATTGTTAATCAGTAACAAAATAGAATTACAAAAAGATTCACATTTTAGTAAATTATTATTAAACTTCCAATGAGTTCTGGTAGACGTTGAGCTGTCATTACTCCTAAGAGAAAGTGATATGGCACTGTGATCAGTTGAAATGAATATCTTGTACGCACATCTGCACTTTGTTGTTTTTGGTGAGAGAACTTGCCAGAGGATTCAATCAGCGATCGAGTGAACGAAACACCGCGTTTCAGCGATGACTCATCTGAACATCTCTGATTGGCCATTGCATTCATAAGCTCAACAGAATCGTGTGTGATTGGTTATAATGCGCTATACAAACGCGTCTGTCTCTGGCTCAGCGCTAGCCAGCGAACACAGAATTGAATTTAGCACCTGGCGATGTGCCGCACTGAACGATATAATCACACCGGTACGATTGCATCAACTATAAAAAATCTTATTCAGCGATGTTTTGTCTTTTGGAAGCTCCATTCAAAGTACACTTGGCTCAGAAATCTGAGGGGGCACGTGCCCCCTGACTTTGAATGGGCACGACGCGTCTGATATATATATATATATATATATATACTGTATATATATATGT